AATCTCCTAGCCTTGTCAGTCTTGTCCTTTTAGCTGTTTAGTCTCATTCTGATGGTGCAATTAGTCTAAGTAGAGATTCCTGTCAGCTGTCTTGTTCTGCTTAAGATTCTCTCCACACAGACAATACTCTTCAAGTCCCAGCAGAAGCATATCATGGTATTTTATGCTGTGGGTTTTGCTTAACTATCGGTTTCGGCAGGTCTTCTGGAACCATCCGTCTCTTCCTTTCATTCACCTTCACATAGAGGCAGCGTTTCCCATCTGTCATGACAATTATGTATAACAATCGTTTCTTGTTGTAGCATGTTACCTGGTGTCGGGCGAGATGTCAAGGAGCAATTCGAAGGTGATTTTCTTTGTTGTTCCCTGTTATCGCGTGTGACACCTAAGCTCCACGTTTTTGAGTAAACCAGTTGATTGAATGTGACACCACATCGTCTTTGCATTGCTATTCATCTTCTCGACCAATTCTCTGTATGTTTGATGACCGTCCTCCTTCAATGGTTCCGTGGACTTCATCACAGAATGTTCCGCTAACTAGTCTCATATTGCAGGCATTGAACTTATGTGCCGGAGTGCCGGTCGATCTGGTTTGCACCATCATTGCGCCAAGTGATGTTGCGCTACCTGTGTCGTCATTGCAGCTACCGAGGATGAAATGCAAAATAGTTGATTCATCCATGTATTCTGGTAGCTGCCTTAGCAGTGACAAGCAGATGACCGCGCCTGTCGAGAAATCAGGAGTACACTCACTCACCTTGGACATGCTGGAGTCACAAGATTGTGTCTTTTGATTTCTAATTGCGCACATGACCACATCGAAGGTGTATCCCTCACTGGTAATGGGAGTTGACGCCTTCAATCTGATCATCGCAAGCATCTGCATTCTATTCATCGACTATGGAGATGCTCAGCATAGTTAGTTGTTCGCGTTGCTTCGAGCACGTACCACTTGTGACCACCAGTCGCTTAGCGTGTAGCAGCAGCTTGTCTCGGTTAATGGATCTGGGATGACTTAGCGTCCGATGATATCAGCCGTTGGCTTGGCAGTGGAAACTGAACTCGGGTGCTACTAATCTGAAGGACGATAGTTTATCTGCCTCATTAGATGGGATCTCAAATAATTCACTCTTTGCTTTGCCGAGGATAGCAGCAGATTACTGCCAACCGGTGCCACTCTCAGGATTACTGACCGGACTAGGCTGCGCATGGTACCCAGTTATCATTGTAGTGAGGTTTAATATGATGTGAAGTGAGGAATTCCGCCACTTAATCTTCGCACTATTGAAATCCATTTATGGTCTTAATCCTAAAACTTGGCTCTACGGATCCGTGTCTTACAAACGGTTACGCTTCCGCTTTCCTTTCTTGTGAAACTCATGAGCAGAGAAATATTATCAGCGTAATCGGAGGGTACTATACATAGCTTCAAAATAAGACAACTCTTCACACGACCGAGAAAGCACTATCCAGCTGTTTTGACATGTTTGGTCTCGTCCGTAGTGCACATTCATCGGATCCACCAGGATCCGAACCCAGGACAATCTGCGGCTTGTGTCATTAGGCCACGGAGAACTGCGTCGGACCGTCACGATGTTCAAGCTAACTGCGATGTGACAGTGTTGACGAAACACAAAGGATCGAATCGGCCGGCTATTAGCTTCCCGGGCATATAGTGAGCTGTCTCATTTGGTAGTTACTGAGTAGAAATCTACACTAATCACTTAACTGCAGCGTCTTCGCTCGTAATATATGGTTGCATGTCTACGAAACGTGGGTAAAATAGCAAACGTTCAGCTGCCGTTGTCGTTGCTGCTGCTGTTGTTGTTGTCGTTGTTGTATGCATTAACGCTGCGTTCGTCGTGGTTGTCAAGGACGCTGATGACACTGAACGCAATGCTTCTAATGATGCTTGTCAATTCGGGTTTGACTGTTTTTATTGCGGATCAAGTACCCATGTGACTCATTGTCTCATCGCCTTCTGGTTATACTTGTATGCTTGGATCTGGGTGTTTTCTCCTTCTTGGAATGTCAGATTGAGCGCACACACACCCCGAGTAGTGACCATCTGCTACAAGTTCAAGCGTTCGGCCTTGATAAATTGGCACGGAAAACGATTCGGCTGTTGTTACTTGGGCGACTGCACACTGGTTGTGACAGAGCCATGCCAAAGCGTTCTACCTTCCCGCAAAGAGCACCGATCTAATCATTATTGTCTTGGATGCGCCTACGGAGTAAATGTCGCCAACTATTGCACACACTAGGCGCATGTGTCCTCAAGCTATACGTCACGTTTAGTTTTTCAAGTTGGTGCCATGTGCAATCATATATCGATGGAGTACCATCGTGTTCAAGGACTGCTAGCCCGTGTGGGTCAGTCGAGGCTGTCGACTCATTTCACCGTATTGATAGTCTGTGGGCAGGACTGTGGATGCTCATTACCATACTACCCGTGGTCACTCAGCTGACGGGGGGTGCTTTGATAGTTCGGGAACTAATACTGACAACAGCAAACATGAGATTCGGGACAAATTGTGCCTCACAAATAGGAATGACCATTCTTGTTTCCAGAGGTGGATCCTCCCCCCTTCGAACATATTGCCAGAGGATGGACCACTATTTCAGCGCAACTCACCAAGATGCTCTTCATTCACCATTTTTGGTAGTCCTTCACTCGAATCCCGGCCTCCCATTCGGAAGTAGTTATTGCATTGCAATTGTGACATATGTTTATCCTTTGCTTACAATTGCATGCCGACATTACAATCATCTCGAGATCAGTCTGGAAGAGGCTTGGGAGACCAGCATTCAAACGCACAACCCTGACGGCTAAAAATGCATCTGGGGGACCACTGAGATTAGATGGTGAGATTGAGTGCGAAGTCAGCTTCAATGGCTTGAATCTTCGTGGCACGATTTACTTGGTTACGAGCAGTGACGTAAATCTGCTCGGCATCGATTGGATCGAGAAGCTGCATCTACTCGACGTACCACTGAGTCACATTTGTTCTGAGAATAATGTCGCGGTGCTTCGTACAGCCGTATCGAATCAGCCGGGTCAAAGTATTGCAGAACTGCTTCAATCGAAGTATGCATGTGTATTTCAATCAGAGCTTGGACATTGCACGAAAATGCAGGCAAAGCTTACCCTGCTTCCTGAGGCAAAAACCAGTGTTCCGACCCAGACGTCCAGTCCCTCACGCATCCCAAGCACTCGTGGAGCATGAGCTTGATCGATTACAGCAGGCCGGAGTGATCGAGCAAGTCAGTTTCTCACAATGGGCGGCGCCTATCGTTGTGATCAGAAAACCGAATGGCTCAGTTCGTTTGTGTGCAGATTTTTCAACCGGCTTGAATGCTGCATTAGAACCCCATCAGTACCCGCTTCCACTCCCAGACGACGTGTTTGCAAAGCTGAATGGAGGCAAGTACTTTGCTACTCTGGATCTGGCAGACGCTTATTTGCAACTGCAGGTCGAACCGGAAAGCAGAAAGCTTCTAACAATCAACACGCATCGCGGCCTTTACCAGTATAATCGTTTGCCATTTGGAGTAAAAACTGCACCTGCAATCTTTCAACAAGTTATGGACGCTATGTTGACTGGCTTGACGGGAGCAGCAGCCTATCTAGATGATATCATCATAATGGGCGGAACCCAGGAGGAATTGTTTCAACGATTGGATGACGTGATGATGAGAATTAAGGAATATGGATTCCGGTTGCGAGCTGACAAATGCAAATTTTTCCTGAAATCCATCAAGTTCCTGGGTTTCGTGATTGACGAGAACGGTCGACGGCCTGATCCTGAAAATATCGAGGCCATAGACAGATTACCGGCACCAACGGATGTCACAACCTTGCGCTCATTCCTTGGGATGGTGAGTCATTATAGTGAGTTCCTACCTTGCATGCATCGATTACGTCATCCTTTAAACCATTGTTGATGAAAGATGTTGAATGGAACTGGTCCGCACAGTGTCAAGAAGCTTTTGACGAACTCAAATCTCTGCTGAAATCAGATTTGCTCCTTACGCATTACAATCCGAAGCAGGAGATTGTCGTGGCTACGGATGCTTCGAGTTATGGAATTGGTGCTGTCATCTCACATCGCTTTCCAGACGGGTCCGAAAGTGCTGTGCGATGTGGCTCACTGCGGCCACGAGTCGCCTGTAACCGCATCTGAAAAGAACGTACAGTCTGCTGCTAGAAGATTGAGAAGGAGTAGGCGCTTGGGCCCAGTTCTCATCTTTGCCGTTGAGAGATTGCACAAGACTGATATCCTTTGGCACAGAAGATCGCACGCTGGTGTCTGACCACCAAACCGCTCTTTGGCCATATCCTCTTGGATCTAAGAATGGCCATACCGACATCGTATCTAGCCAGCTCAGACGTTCACGCGCCATGGGCAACTCTGCTCCTGAGCGCGGGTAATATCGAGTTTGCGGATTTGCGGTTATTTGTCCCCACGGATTGCTATTGCGACCACGCGGACGCCACCTGTCACAGAGTCCTTGATTCTTACTGACCGGTAGGGACGGCGATCAAGATCGATAGACGCAGTCATTGCATCAGTGCTGCCGGAATCGGACGTCACGCTGAACAGTTGATACAAGGGACGCACATGTCGTTTGTTCTAAACCTTGCCCAGTGAAGGCATGGTTTAATGGTTGCGGCAAGCCCAACTGTAAACACAGGATCGCTGTGCTACAAGAAGTATTAATCCGTATACAATAGAAGCGGGCAGGAGCCAATGACGAACAGCCTTGGGGTCCGTACACGATAGCTTTGGCACCCAGTTCTTCACAAGGTCGAGGCGCGCATTTGTCGCGAAGTTTTGATTCCTGGCTCTGTTTTTCGGCAGCTATTCGCATAGTACATTTCCAGTAAAAGTGCACAGGCACAGACGCTCATACTCAGTAGGTGCCTGCACTAAGGGCCATCCATGCGAATCGCCCGCCTGAAGGCACTCGCTTCGCTGCAGCTACCTCTGCTACCGTCTTTATGGGCCGATGATGGGCCAAGCCAAATTGAGGATGATCGGCTCGAACCTATATCCACCCCCCCCCCCCCCCCCCCCCCAACCCCCCCTGTAACCCCCCCCCCCCCCCCCCCCCCCCCCCACCCCCCCCCCACCCCCCCACCCCCCCCCCCCCCCCCCCCCCCCCCCCCCATCCCCCCCCCCCCCCCCCCCCCCCCCCCACCCCCCCCCCCCCCCGACCCCCCCCCCCCCCCCCCCCCCCCCCCCCCCCCCCCCCCCCCCCCCCCCCCCCCCCCCCCCCCCACTTCCAGATTGCATCAGAGTCATACCAACAGACTGCCAGGTGCGTGTGCCGAGTGCCCACAATCTTTACACTTCGGTCGACATATCCAGATTCTCCCTGGTTCGCGCATACCATCGTGTGATTTCGCGGACCTCCTAGGACCAATCGAGGGCGTGCTGGAATTTCTCTGTGATTGGTTGACGCGCTACCTCAGTAAGTGGCCGCGGAAAGTAGAGCGCACCGCGCGATGCAATACCACGTCCACTCAAACAGCACGCAGTTCGTCGGAAAATGAGGCCATAGTATTCCATGTCTAGCATGGCCTACCAAACAAAAAACCGTTTATTTCCCGACTAAACGGATCGCAGTATACCCGTCTAATCTATATTTTCAGCCGTACGAGTTTTGTCGCATACACCAAATTGGTATCGTAGCACGTGAGCGACAGCCTCACCATATTTATACAACTTACGTCCTCAAAGACGGCTAAGCGGAAGAAAAGATTCGTCGTATACCCTGAAAAGAGTGCACTCTTTGGTAAGTTCCAATAAAGGTCGAGCGGAACCGTGGGACGAAGACTGGTCCAGCGGTTCCTACTTGAATTTATCGAGTTGACTTCCCAATCCCATATTGCAACCCGATGGGACGTAGTCACTCAGGCTCTGAAGGTCCTATCTGGGTCGCACAGATGATGAGAACATACATCTGGATTTGCTGACACCCAGGTCGTCCTCTCCCACAAACAAGGGAATTAGCAATGGAGCACAAAAGGGGTAGGGCGTTCCGCAGCACAGTCCACAACAGGCGCGTACGCGACCGTGCACGGAGAAAAGGAGGTTCAGAGTTGGGACACGTATTTGATCATCTGCACGAGCGCTATTCAGGGAACGGCGGCATCAACGCTTGGTTCACCAGGACCGCAATCGTGGCTCGACGTCGGGTAGCGGGTGATGTACACGATGTTCACTTGTCGGTGACGCAGGTTATGGATGAGACGCTCACGAGCCACATTAGTCGCGACTGAAACCATGCGGGAGTAACACTGGATAGGTGGATGTGTCAGAATGCCATACAGATTTGAAGTATAATGAGTTGCCTGTACATAATGGGCCTCAAAACCAAGTCGCTTCTATCACGCTGCGAACAGATATCTCAACCCAAAGGGATTCGGGATTGCCGCGGACACAGCAAGGGCGCGGCAACAGAAACCCCAACGTATACCAGAATAAGTTGCGACCAGCAACGTTTCATGAGGGGACCCGCGATCGGAGAAAGAGTACTGTGTCCGATACTAGAGTAACACTAACTATTTTGTATCGACGGGGGTAGATGTTAGGGAGCAGGGTCTACTTAATCCCTGCAGTTTCTATGAAACTTATTTGTTAGTTAGCAACTTATTTTCTCTTTGGTTGGCGCAGTAGTTTACCTCGCTTCTTCTGCGACGCATTTTGGACCACGCCGCGTTCATCGCCAGCCTCATTTCGCAATCGCTCACCAGCTACATTTCAGCCGTCTCATTCTGTGGACATTCTGATTGGTTTCTATTTGCTCAGCGTTCTCTTTAGCTTTTTCACGTGGATGTATTATTCAGCCGACAACATATATTATTATACCTCGTTTTTTATTTTCCTGGTCGTGTATCATTCTCACTATCAACTGTTCTGGCATTTGTTTAAACCCATCACTATCTCCACAGTGATAGGCACGCTCACTCGTCGTTTTAATGGTCGCTCACCAGAAGGTTACCCCCAGGGATCTAAACTCCGCAGACACTATTTTCTTTGCCGCACTTCATTGGCTTGTAATTTTCGCGATTCTCATTTGCTTGTTCCATTTTGTGTTTTCTCCATGCCTGTTGGATCTACATGCGCTTTAGTAGCTTGGCTTCGCCCTCTGTTTGTAAAGCTATATAACTGGTGCCGTGCTGTAATAGAAAATCTGTTCATTCCCGGCTCATCTTGGACTTCTTCTTGCGGTCGTGGGGTGATGAAGGCGTACTCGGACGACACAACACTGACATGACCACCTATCGCCCCATAGATCTGAACCCCAGTACGAAACTGGTTACTCAAATCAACGCAGCATCGAAGGGCCTACAAGCAATGAGTGAGATTCCCAAGCAGGAGCGTTAGAGGATGAAGACTGAGGATCCAAACACTACAAGGTTCCATTTACTGACAAAGTTACACAAAGACGGGGTCCCATTGCGTCCACTCGTCCCGTTGCTAGGGCTCCCAGCATAAAAATTGGCAAACTGCATGTGGAATAAAGTAAAACATCTGATTGCCAGATCTGGAAAAAATATAATTAATGCTGAACAATTCAACAAACAACTGAATGGTTTTACGATAGAGGAAGATGGAATCTCATGCTGTAGTTTGACGTCACCGCACGCTTCACGTCGATCGGTCACGAACATGCAAAAGCAATCATGATGGAATTACTTCGAAATCAACGGAACACAATAGGAAACATCAAGCCGGAGAGCGTATGTGAAATTCTGGATCTCTGTATGACCATGTATGTTTGCTTTGATGGGCAAGTATACCAGCAACTGAACAGAACGTTAATGGGATCGCCCATCTCAGGAATTGTTGTAGAAGCTGTGATGCAAAAATTGGAGAGTATCACAAACCGTTAATCAAACCGAAATTCATCACTTATGCCCATTCGGACATCAAGAGAAATTTCTCTTCGATCAATGTTGTCAGGTGCATACGAATATGAAGCAGATAAGCAAAACTTTCAAAAAGCTATTACTAGCTATGCACAAATAAAAGGATGTCAGATGAGTGGTGGAATATTAAGATTGTGACCCCATTGTGTACACCAATCAACCTCAGATTCAAACAAATCACCAGTTACCGATGGCCTTGATTTCTGCTTATTTCGTGAGGACCAGGGCAGAATTAGAGATTGCACGAGAGTTCTTTGCTTTGCAGAATTTCCGGCTGTGGGCGTCTGATAGCAAAGACCCTAAGCTGTAGTCAGGAAGCTACTTTTGCTTCCTTTTGAGTATCGTTTCGGAGCAACTATGAAAACCTCCCATGATTCCTTAACCCGGTGTTGATGCCCAGTGATATTTAGGTGCTCACAGATTGAACTATGGATATGTCTTGAGGTTCCATGCTGTCAGGAAGCAGGGCAGTGCTGTGTTATACGTTTTGATATACGTCTAGTAATGTGTCGGACGTACTAGGCATCACTGATGTAGGCGTACTGATAAAATCAAAGGATTTAGCCTCGACCGGTAGTGCACGTGAGATGTTGCGTGATGAGAAATCAACTCGAGCTGCCGGATACGTCTTGTTTAGCGCAGAAGACAACCTTCAGTTAAGTTACTCTAAGGGAATATCCCCATTGAAGGATTCCGGATTGTTTCTTGGCAAAAGCACTAGGTCAACGGTTGTTCTGTAGAGTCCTATGAATCAAAGCCTCATCTTCTTCTAGCGTCTCTGGGCTATACATGTTTGTTACCCGAGAGTACAAGCAACGCACACGATTTCTTTTATAGTTCACAGGGTCGGAGCTAAGAAAATGGGTAGATTGGCCAACCCAAATTGTTTTTCTCTATTCGCAGTTCTCAAGCCACCCATCGCTACGCCGACGTAACAGAACGTCTAGAACAGCCACTGCACCGCCGTTCTCCATCTCGCAGGTGAACTACAAGAAGGCTGCGTGCGTTTAAACTGGTCCAATAGATGTAAAGATCGATGGTGCAGTCATATACGTATCGTCCATGTAGCGTTGTTACGGATCAAGCGACGCAATCACATGTCAAACGGGGTCGTTACAGTGAGCAACCAAAATGTTGCAGAGCTTATAAGCCGGCTGATTGCATATGGATAAGCGAGGATGGCAACCTGTTGACGTTGTCTTGATGATGCAGCACATACAATTGTGTCACACGGGTTACCAATAAGATGTCCTTGTGGGTTCTGCGTCTGCAAGCATGATCCATTCGAAGTAATCATATGCATAATCGGTTTGAGGCCAACAGGTCCCCGAGTATTCGTTTGCTCAGCAGTTGGCATTCGCGCTTGCAGTACCAAATAGAATACCGCCACATACGCAACAAAACGGTGCTGCTAATACGCTAATAACAGCCACACATTTTTCGCGGATCTGACGCTGTCCAGTTAGAGAGTACACAAGAACACAACTACCTACATCTATGTTCTGCCAACGAACGAAAATTTGGGATATGGCAAAAGCCGCTCCTATACAACTGAACAGACGATGTTAGTTGATCGCGTTACTTTCTCCCAGCTGGTAAAATGAATTAGCTGCTTGTCTGCTATCACATGAACATCGAGTACATCAGCCAGATCATCTGTGCTGAGAGAAGTATGGAAAAGAGATTTTCTGTTATTTATGACCATCGTGGATCGCTGATGATCTGTGGGGAGTCAACCAAGTTCACTTAGGCCCATTCGGTTTATTACGGACGCTGGCAAGCTGAACAACCTCCTCGTGGTGCCAACTAGGTGGTTCGGGTTAATCCCGTTCCAGCAAATTGTTCGGCGACAGTGTTCCAGGAAGCGGGAGGTTCCTGCTCGGCAAGCGTTCTCCCTATATAAAGCCACAAATATCTCTCTAAAAACACTGTGACGTGGCGTAGGAGAATCGCCACTAAATAAACTCACTGCTACTTGCCTTTTCCTAGGGTCTAACACACATGAAGTAAGTCATCCAATTTGAAGCCTTTTGACTTTCTTCAAAGTGAATCCGGCGAGCGAAACCACAAATTCAGAGTCAAATTAACACGCACAATCAACATGATTACTTGCACATACACACGAACTGCCACATGCATACATACACATATGTTACTAGTTAACACGTAATGCTTATATGTGAGCACCGATCATACATTTTGTATTAACATGATCATGCCTTTACAGGCATGCCCCGCACTGCCGAGAATTAAATATTTATTTATTTATTAAAACGGTAAATGATATGGCCACATAATCAGTGCCGACTTCAGAGCGATAACTTCCTTGAAGTCTCACAACATAATTAATAAGGTCGT